AAGGGGTGACAGATAAAGAGGTCAGAGATGGTCATGTTTGAAAGCCTAAATCTCCTGTTTGGCTCATGGATCGCTGCTCTTTTCTCCAAGGGGTTTATTTTCCACTGGGGAATGGCCAGCTTTAAAAAATAATCCTAAACCATTTCTATTCAGCATGGAGCCAGTAAAGAGGGGGAAAAAATCTGTTATTTGTACAGCTCGAGACTTGATTTCCCTCTTTCCAAAGAAGGATAGATTCACAGTCTGCACAGCTGTAATTCAGAATTCAGTTTCCACGGATCAAAGGTTAGCACATTAATCTACTCTGTGTATTTCATGCCAACCCCACTTGGAAATATAAAAAAAACCCTGCAAAAGTATTAACTCATTTAATGCCAAAGTGCCCCCGGTGCATTGTTTGACATTTTACAAAATTGTTTGGACAGTTTCTGCAAACAAAGTTGACTACATTTCTTTGGTGAAAATTAATAATAATAAAAAAAAAAGAATATAAATTACACAGAATAAAACCACTCTGTTTTATTTCATATTTATTTAATGATGAATATTTTTATGGTTAACAATATTTCTTATTTTCCCCAAGAGTATATCAGTTTAGGTTTGTTTTCTGTTTGTTTATAATGATCTACACAGATGTAATAAGTTGATTATTTTCACAGCTTGGCAATGGCTCAGACAAACTTAAAACTTAAAGGGTCGTAGATGCCTGAATATAACTGGTTTTGTATATGAAGTTGCAAATGGAGGCCATTTCAAGCATGCGTTTAAAAGTTGTGCGGTTTACATATTATATGTTTTATTTAAACAAAAAGTGTTTATGCATTTTAGTAATTGGCAAGAATGAAATGCACAGGTATACAATGACCCTGTAAAAACCTATAGCTATAATCTTATTGGCTACTTGATGATTTCAGCTAATTAATATTCAGCAGGAATTCAAGTCGTGGTCAATGACCAAAGTCTTCACAGAACCTATGGCAACCTCTTATTTACTGTCAGGTACAGATATTTCAGAGCAGCACAAGTACACGTGAGCACATTTCATGATTTTCATTACATTTCTCAACTGCTGTGAACATTTTCCTCTATCTACACTTAAATTGTAGCATTCCTGGGTATTTTGGAATAATCAGTACAGAAGAACCTTGTTCATTAAGACACTTACTAACGTTTCTCTTTCCTGTCCTTCTTTCTTGTTTTTCTATAAATGTTCATGAGAGTTGCAATAAAAATATTTCCAGGAACAGCAATGTAGCAGATTGATTTTGTATTAAAGGACCACTATAGTGCCAGGAAAACATACTCGTTTTCCTGGCACTATAGTGCCCTGAGGGTGCCCCCACCCTCAGGGTCCCCCTCCCGCCCGGCTCTGGAAGGGGGAAAGGGGTAAAAACTTACCTTTTTTCAGCGCTGGGCGGAGAGCTCTCCTCCTCCTCTCCGCCTCCGTTACGCCCCGCCGGCTGAATGCGCACGCGCGGCAAGAGCTGCGCGCGCATTCAGCCGGTCTCATAGGAAAGCATTTACAATGCTTTCCTATGGACGCTGGCGTGCTCTCACTGTGATTTTCGCAGTGAGAAGCACGCAAGCGCCTCTAGTGGCTGTCAATGAGACAGCCACTAGAGGATTAGGGGGAAGGCTTAACCCATTCATAATTATAGCAGTTTCTCTGAAACTGCTATAATTATGAAAAAATGGGTTAACCCTAGAAGGACCTGGCACCCAGACCACTTCATTAAGCTGAAGTGGTCTGGGTGCCTAGAGTGGTCCTTTAATAAGGAGGATATTGAAATGTGTACCTTCATACAGATATTTCTTTCTTAGCAGCCTCCGGTATCACAGTGCCATTACAAAACCAAGGAGAGATGGTAGGAAGGCTAAATTAATCAGTTATCAATACTTGTATCACTGGAGCTCACAGACCTCTGGTTGCCAAGGATGTCTTTACGAGCATTGCCTTTACTTCTAGTGTCATAACCTGAAGTTTCTAGGACAAAAGGGTCTGAACACCTTCTGAGAAAAAGGCAATGCAAAACTCTGGGAAGGCCAAAAATAAAAAACAAGCAATGTAAAATACCATTGGAGGAATCGATCAAGTATGGGTCCTTTGTTAATTTAAAACGTACTACAATCCAATAGGGTTGAGGGATGGTATTAAACCCATCTGTAGTACTTCCACGGATATGACAGATAAATATATATATTTCAATGGGACTTTTGTCAGGAGAGTGCTGATGATGTATTGTGTGGGGATTGCTCAATGTTAAGAAACTTTTAATTTACTTAATTTACTTTTTTTTGTTATTATTTTGATTGGATGTTTTTGCATAATTTAATTACTTACATATATAATTCATTTTAAAAAAACTGTTAATTCCACCTTGAGATGACCTTTTAATATTACAAAACCAGGAGGTGGCAAGCTAACTTTAATTACAATTATATTTAGCAATAACTGCATCTGAGTCTAAAGCTGATGATATAGACTGTAATTTTTATTTGTATGAAACCACAGCAGGTTGAGAGACTGTTTCAATATCCCAAAAGATTATGGTAAAACAACATGCGCAAGAGTACATAAAATGCTGTACATCAATCTGAACATGTTATAAAACATAAGGCATTGCTGTCACTAGGTTACAACTATGTTCAAACTGTCTGTGTTATGCTCATCTTGAGATTTCTGAAAACGTACATAAACATGAAAATCAAAACTGTGGAAAACTGTTTACTCTTTAAAAGGCATACTCATCAAACTAAGATCAATAAAACATTTAATAACACTGTGTATACATATACATCCTCTGGAAATGTTATATTATCAGTATAATTGTATAGATCACAGTAATACAAATTATTCACTTTCATTTCCGACAGGGATATTTACTAAACTACAAACTCAAAGGACCACTATAGGCACCCAGACCGCTTCAGCTCAATGAAGTGGTCTGGGTGCCAGGTCCATCTAGGGTTAACACTGCAGCTGTAAACATAGCAGTTTCAGAGAAACTGCTATGTTTACAATAGGGTTAATCCAGCCTCTAGTGGCTGTCTCATTGTGATTTTCACAGTGATAAGACGCTGCCGTCCATAGGAAAGCATTGAAAAATGCTTTCTTATGGACTGATTGAATGCACACGCGGCTCTTGCCGCGCATGCGCATTTGGCGGATGACGTCAGAAGAGGGAGAAGAGTCTCCAGCGCCGAGGGAGCCCGGTGCTGGAGAAAGGTAGGTGTTTAACCCCTCTTGAGCCCATTATAGTGCCAGGAAAATCAGTTTGTTTTCCTGGCACTATAGTGGTCCTTTAAATTGACTAGATGGGCCGAATGGTTCTTATCTGCCGTCAGGGGCGGACTGACCACTCGGGCATATCGGTCATGGACCGAGGGCCCGAGACAGTCAGGGGCCCGGCCGCACAGCCATGCTCCAGCTGGAGAGACCAGAGATCTCTCCAACTGGAACGGCAAAAAATAAATAAAACTATTTAAATGATAGGTTGTGGGGCCCCTGATGCAGTGCGGGGCCCCACAACCTACCGCTCTCTAAATCCTCCCTCCTCCCATGAGACCTGGCAGCTTCACCTCCTCTCTGCCAGGTCTCCTTCTCCCTGTCCCGCGGTGCTCTGTGTGATGGGAGAGGCGGGGCTAGGAAGTGACATCACTTCCTGTTTACTCCAATCACACAGAGCCCAGGAGGGGAAGGAGCACCAGCCGGGGAGACCACAAGGAACAGAGAGACAGGTAGGCTCTAGTCACCCCTGCCCCCCCTCACTGTCACCAATCACCCCCCCCACTGTCACTAATCACCCCCCACTGTCACTAGTCACCCCCACTGTCACTAATCACCCCCCCACTGTCACTAGTCACCCCCACTGTCACTAATCACCCCCTCACTGTCACTAGTCACCTCACGTCACCATCACCCCCACTGTCACTAATCACTTCACTGTCACTAGTCACCTACTGTTACCAATCACTACTGTCACTAATCAACTGTCACCCCCACTGTCACTTTCCAATGTCACTTACTGTCACTAATCACTCTCACTGTCACTAATCACTTCACTGTCACTAGTCACCTCACTGTCACTAATCACCCCCACTGTCACTAGTCACTTCTACTGTCACTAGTCACTCTACTCTCGTCACTAATTACCCCTTACTGTCACTAGTCACCCCTACTGTCACTAATCACTCTACTGTTACCACCTCACCTCTTACTGTCACTAGTCACCCCCCACTGTCACTAATCACCTCACTGCTGTCATTTTCTCTACTGTCACTAGTCACTTACTGTCACTATAGCCGCTCTCACTGCTCACTAATCATTTCTCTCACTGTCACTAATCACTCTCTATTCGTCAGCTTCGTCACTCTCTCTCACTCTGTCACTAGTCATCCCCTTCCTTACTGTCACTAGTCCCACCCTCCCTCACTCTGTCACTAGAGTGAGGGGGTGACTAGTGAGAGTGAGGGCGTGACAGGTGACAGAGGGAGGGGATGACTGGTGACCGAGTGAGGGAGGGGGTGACTAGTGACAGAGTAGGGGACGGAGGGGGTGACTAGTGACAGAAGGAGGGAGGGAGTAGTGACAGAGTGAGGGAGGGGGTGACTAGTGACAGAGTTAGGGAGGGAAGGGGTGACTAGTTACAGAGTGAGGAAGGGGGATGACTAGTGACAGAGGGAGGGGTGACTAGGGACAGAGTGAGGGAAGTAGTGACTAGTGACAGTCACCACCTCCCTCACTCTGTCACTAGTCACCCCCTCCCTCACTCTGTCACTGTGTCACCCCCTCCCTCTGTCACTGGTCACCCACTCCCTCCCTCACTCTGTCACCAGTCATCCCCTCACTCTGTCACTTATAACCCCTTCCTTCCCTCACTCTGCTACTAGTCACCCCTTTCTTCACTCTGTCACCTGTCACCCCCTCACTCTGTCACTAGTCACCCCCTCACTCTAGTGACAGAGTGAGGGAGGGTGTGACTAGTGACAGAGTGAGGAAGGGTGTGACTAGTGATAGAGTGAGGGAGGGGGTGACTAGTGACAGAGAGAGGGAGGGGGTGACTAGTGACAGAGTGAGGGAGGTGGTGATTAGTGACAGAGGGCGGGATGGGGTGACTAGTGACAGTCACCACCTCCTTCACTCTGTCACTGTGTCACCCCCTTCCTCACTCTGTCACTGTGTCACCCCCTTCCTCACTCTCACTAGTCACCCACTCCCTTCCTCACTCTGTCACTAGTCACCCACTCACTCTGTCACTAGTCACCCCCTCTCTCACTCTGTCACCAGGCATTCCTTCACTCTGTCACCAGTCATCCCTTCCTTCCCTCACTCTGCCACTAGTCATCCCTTCCCTCACTCTGTCACCAGTCATCCCCTCACTCTGTCACCAGTCACCCCTTCCTTCCTTCACAGTGACAGAGTTAGGGAGGGAGTGACTAGTGACAGAGAGAGGGATGGGGTGACTAGTGACAGAGTGAGGAATGGGGTGACTAGGGACAGAGGGGGTGATTAGTGACAGAGTGAGTGAGGGGGTGATTAGTGACAGAGTGAGGGAGGGGGTGACACAGTGACAGAGTTAGGGAGGGAGTGACTAGTGACAGAGAGAGGGATGGGGTGACTAGTGACAGTCACCCCCTCCCTCCCTCTGTCACTAGTCACTCCCTCCCTCTGTCACTAGTCATTCCCTCCCTCTGTCACTAGTCATTCCCTCCCTCTGTCACTAGTCATCCTCTCCCTCTGTCACCAGTCATCCCCTCACTCTGTCACCAGTCATCCCCTCACTCTGTCACTAGTCACCTCTTCCCTCCCTCACTTTGCCACTTGTCATCTCTTCCCTCCCTCCCCCACTCTGCCACTAGTCACCCATTCCTTAACTCTGTCACTAGTCACCCCCTCTCCCTCCCTCTGTCACTAGTCACCCACTCCCTCACTCTGTCAACAGTCACCCCCACTCACTGTGTCTCCCCCTCACTCTGCCACCACTCAACCCCTCCTTCCCTCACTCTGCCACCAGGTACCCCCTCACTCTGCCACCTGTCACAACCTCCCACACTCTTCCACCTGTCACCTTCTCCCTCATACACTCTGTCACCTGTCACATATGCATTCACACAGACACTATATACAAAAAGCACATGTAGTCATCCAGACATGCACAAGTGCATTCACACAGACTCAAATACAAACATGCATTGATACACAGGTCTTCACAATATACACATCCAAAGGAATGCCGTATTATGAGTTATATTTAACATTTATTTAATGCACGTATATTTGGCCTGGGATCTAATTTTGCCCGGGGGCCCCAAAGGCTCTCAGTCCGCCCCTGTCTGCCGTCACAGTCTATGTTTCTATGTTTCAAATAAATAATAAGAATATTATAAAATAATGGTTTATTGTTGCTAGTGAAGCACATGATTTGTGTACACTGAAATACTGTCTGATAGCACATTGCAAATATCTATATATCACAATAAATGACATGATTTTCCTATTACATGACGTAAAGTCATGATTTTATTAAAGACATGGAGGCGAGTATTGCATATCCCTTTCTTTACTGTCCACCAATAGTAGCAAAGAATACAAAACAGAATGAAAAAAATAATGCATACATAGTAACATAGGCCACTCCCAGGCAAATCCCAGTCTAATAGCAGGCACCACCCTCAAATCTTCGTCTTTCTTGAAGATGCGACACACCATAACAGAAAGTCAGCAAAACAGGAAACCAGCAGACAAAATTCATCAGCAAACGAAACATAGAAGTTCACAACTGAGAACATCCACGGAACAGCTCCAAAAATATAATGCTCATCCAAGGCAGATGAAAGAGACATCAAACAGGTCTGGATCATGCTGTGAAAACATAAAGAACAGGAGCCCAAGGTTAAATTTGTACTACAGACCAACATCAAGGCCAGAATACTATAGGCATTAATCTGGAAATAGTTGCAGCCGGCCAGGCGGCCCCTGAATCTGCCGGCCCTGGTAGAGACATGACAACAGCCCCCTTTCCTGTGTGGACGAAATTGGCACATGCACAGCAATTGCAACAAAGCTTGACAATGGTTCTGTACTATAAGCTGAAATGTTGCTGTAGATTCTTCCTGAAATACTGACTGCCTATTGAGAAAGCTACTTTGAGTGCCTAGGCTTTCTTGACCGCTAATAAGTTGCGTACCCTGTGAGAACTGAGTCTGGGTTCTAGAGAGCATTTGATTGGCACAGCGCGGTGATTTGCTGCACATGCGCACTAGCCTCCCAGTGCTTTCTTTCTTGTGTACTAGCAATTGAAACAAAGACAGCAATCATCCAGCAGAATGCTTCTTATAGGGAATCATCAAACATTCTTGGATGCCAGATTCAATGCCAAGAGGTTGTTCCCAAATTAATTCTTGAAAGTGTAACAAGAATGTTATCAAGAAGCACTGGGAGGATAGTGCGCATGTGCAGCAAATCGCTGCGCTGTGCCAATCAAATGCTCTCTAGAACTCAGACTCAGTTCTCACAGGGTATGCACCTTATTAGCGGTCATAATGGTAGCCTATTGAGGAATTTTTAACCCTGCAATGGAAACATTGCAATTTCTACAAAAGTTTACATTGCAGGGCTTAAACTAAAGGGTCACTTCACTTTAGTGGTCTTTTAAGAAAGCACACTTGGTAACACCTTTATTGAATACCAGTGCATTGGAACACTCCATATTAAGTAACAACAGCAGTATTAATGCATTGGTGCATACTGCTTGAATTTACCCAGGAGAACACATAACCTCATGTATAGGAAGCTACGATAGCAACAGAATGCGAAAGCTTTTCAGCAATGAAATACTTCACAGAATCACAGTTAATGAGCTATCAATAGTTCTGTAATAATGCTGACAAGAATACTTTTACAAAGTGATATCCACATGATATTTTGTGAAAATTATATTTATATCCCTAGTAATTGTTGTATAATGTGTTTAAGTCCCTGACCAATAATACAACTGCACTCTGCAATAAGAATTACATAAATTTAAATCTGAAATATATTTGTACAAATTATAAAGATTTTTATTTTCTTCCCAGTTGATATAATTAACTTTAAAATGTCAGTATTTTATTTTTCCCCAGAGAACACCCCTGCCATGCAACTAATCATTTGATTTCAGAACAGATTTTCATTTTTGCATGGCAATTGCCCATATGTTTGGCTCTAAGCATCATATTTTTCAATGTTCACATCACACCAGTAGTCCCGACAGGCCATTAATTCCAACGTTTATTCTCTGTATCACATTTCCTCACTCAATGGCTGTAATATTTATGTCTTTTATTGAGTCCTGCTGGGAAACATTATATAAAACTACGCTTGGAATTATAGCCGCTGAAATATATACAGCACTATAAAGAAGGAAATAGGAATAATGCTGTTTGCATACTTAAACTATAGGAACCTGAAATGATTTTAATCAGCACAGCTGCTATGTATACACAGCAGGGGACAAGTGACACAAGAACGGAAGTAAGATATATTAAGTCTCCATCTGTACTTCCCTCCGCAGCGATCTTAGTATGTGCAGCAGCATGCAGGTTTATGAGTCGTTTGGGATGTATTGCTTTACAAGATCAGCATCATCTATTTATTGTCAATATTTAAAAAACAAGATATTGCCTACATATAAAACATAACTTGTAGCGGGGCCTTGGTAACCCGACTGGTTACCCCAGCTATTAATGTATTAAGAGACCCATTCCCCCAGTGACTGGACGACACATGGTTCCAGGTGTTCAACGTTTGACAATCTTAATTTTGGCACACAGCTTTTTATGCACAGACCCACGCAAGGGGTGTCCATCCAACACAACACAAATACCAGGCAGGAGGGGGCTAGGTTGCTGGCTCCTTGCAGTGACCAATCAGCGCTCCCTTGGGCTGACCAACCAGGAGAATGGCGTGAATCCAGTTTGAATGGGTGCTCCTTCTCCATTGGTCGGCACAGACTTCCACGTGGCCACCAGGGGATTCCCTGTTGGCGTGCATCCCTCTCTCGAGTGCATATCCCTACGCTGGTATCCACCTGAGAGAGCGCTTTCCTGGGCAGCCACGAACCAAGCCTCTTAGCTGACAGGTAGTTGTGTAAAGAGTGATTATAGCTCAGTTGGGAGTGAGTAGGATGATCCCTGACATGGGGATCGAAGACAGTGCTCGCAGGCCGGTTCAGGATGCGAATGCTCCTCTTGGTGGGCTTTCAGTGATACGAACCGGTGGCCACCCAGGGGAAGCCACTAGTTTCTCTTGTGGTCTGCGGTTTTCACACCTCGTTAGCGAGGTGTGAACGTTCTTACCACACGTTCTAAATGGAGTATCGGGGTGGCACAGAGCACCCCTGTGTGGTTAAAAAGCAATTTGCAGGATTTCATGTGAAAATCACAGAGAGGGAG